AATTATGTTATTATTATTTTTATTGATTATTATTATTATTATAAAAATAGATATTTTAATATCAATAAAAATTAAATTCATTACTTAACTAATACTAAGTTCATTAACATTTTTCAAAAGTCAATTTTTTTTCTTCCAACCACGCAACTCTAAGCTTATTTTTCAGAATTTATTTTCTATATATTTTTATTACAATAATATTATTTTTATAAATAAAATATAATACAATTTAAACTAATTTATAGTTTAAGTTCTAATAAAAAGCAACGAGTTATTATTTGAATTTTAAGAGATTGCTGAAAAATTGGTGAAATTATTATTTGAATATTCAAAAACTTAAATAAGAATTGATTAGTTATTTTTTAAGTTTTAAAGTCGGAACAAGATGATGGATTATTTTCTGAATTTTTATAATTGCAGAAAGATTAATGATATATTTTATAAAAATATAATTAAAATGAAAATTAAGAATTAATATATGAATTTTTAAAGTTTTTGTTCGATTTTTATATGGACAAACTGTACGACTATATACATATATGGTTAAAATTTGTAAAATTATAAAATAAATGATATTATTATTTTTTTATAAATAACAAGACGTATAGTCTTTCCAATTTATTGGTTTTAAATTTGACTAGAGAGGGGAGATAAGAGAGAGAAAGAGAGATAGAATAATGTCATTTTTCAAACTTTTAGATCATTTAATGTTATTTACTAGATCGTTTTTGATATTTTTAATAAGTAGGAGTGCAAATAACAACCTCCAATTTTTATTTATATTTATTAATTGTTAATAGTAATAAATAATAATGAATATCAATAATGGTTATAATTGAAAAGGGTGATAAAAACTCCTCATAACCTACTTTAACCAACGTTTTAATAAGCTAATTTATGTTTGACAAATAACGTCTTAGGAGCTGTTTACTTGCAGCTTAATTAGGTTTATTGGTCAATCTGGCTTATTCGCACAACTCATTTCGGTTGTTTACTTATGGCTTATTCGCACAGCTCATTTGGGTTGTTTACTTATGGTTTATTCGCACAGCTCATCTGGGTTGTTTACTTATGGCTTATTCGTACAAAATATGGTTTAATCGTACAAATAGAAATGATTGCCCCTTTCAGCCACAAAAATGACACCACTACCCTTATTTTAAAGTATCGTCTCCATCCCAAATGAGACATCTCATCGTCAACCTCTTTATAATTTTTTGTTTTAATGTTCAAATAATTAATATTGGGGGTAAATCGGTCATTTATGATATTCATACTGTTGGTTCAGATAAAATAAAGTAAACAACAACACCTATTTATCCAGACAAACAAATTTATCCGAACAAATAAATTTATCCATACAGAACTTAATAAAAAAATTTGGTAAACAGCCCCTTAGTTGTACACAATATTGAAAGTCATGTATTACAATAGTACCTTGCTACCAACTTATTTAATTATTTATTAGTTTTTGTATTATTATGTATTAAATACTAAATATTGTAACTTTATCTATTCTTTTGAACATTTAAATTTTTATAAATTTTATTCGTTGCAATAAAAAACAATTAATACCTGAAAACTCAAAATGTCACTTAAAATTTGAACAAAATAACAAGTTTTCACACACACACACACACAAACACACACACACACACACACACACACATATATATATATATATATATATATACTATATTATAAAGCATTTGATAAAAACTCTTAAAAACCATTTTTTATGAATGAAGTACTGTATATTGATACATATTACTTAAAATTCAAGATTACAAGTAAATTATGCATAAGTACAACTTATTAAAGCTCCATGTTTAAATTCGTGTAACTAACTGCAGATAAACATAATCAAATAAAGGATAAACATCTTATTTTAAAATACAAAAAATCTAAAATATAATTAGGATAATTATCGAGTTTTAACAAAATAATTAATTATTATCTTTATAAGAAAATTATAACCAAATATAAATTACTTCGTTATTGAATTTAAATTAAATTAAAAAATTACACAAAAATTAATAATTTTAAATAGTTAATTTGATACTATATCGATATATTTTTGTCAAATTTTTATGATATATTCAAATTTATATTTTATTTAAAAATAAAAGCATCATCGTTTTTTCAAAATCACATAAGACCATACTATAACATCGACTAAGATAAATAATAAAATAAAATATTAAAATCAAAATATATCTTAATACATTACACACGAGTATTATATAATTAATACCAAATAGACTCCATTAATACATGATATAAGATATTACCTGATATGTGCACCCATAGAATGTGATTTTTAATAAAGGCAGCATTTACAGTTGTTAAGATGTGAATGGTTGGATAGAAAGCATGAATGAAGGGACAAGATTCAAATGAAAACGATGGATAACCGGAGCTCCGACGAGGCTTCTTTAAATACAGGACCTCTGTAGCATTCACACATTAACACATACACGCACTTGATCAAACTCGCCGGATTTCCTTCCGAACCAACATCAAGCAAGATTGAATTTCATTATCTGTTTGCTGATCCAATTCTGGAGAGAGAAAGGAAACAAGATTTCAAGGTCAGTTTCGAAATTCCTAATTTGACTTCATAGTATCAATGTTTGATTCTGGATATGAATTTGATTTGGAATAACTTGAAATTCTATATAAATCCGATTTTTCAAGGAAACTTTTCGGAATCTGTGGGTGTCAGGTGCACTGTTTTGATTCTGTCGTACTTGTTAACTTTTTTCCTATATTAATTAGGGTATTACGAGTATTTGTGAAGGAAATCACCGAGAAATTTTAATTGATTTTCGCATTTGGACGTGTTGTTTAGTAGGAGCAAAATGATTTTTTTTTACGTTTTGGAATTTGTCAATGGCAATGGTTAGAAGTTGGTCGACGGCCGTATCAATTTGTTCGTCGCGTTTCTTTGTGTTTCTCAGACCAAAAACAAACGATGCTGTTACTGTAAAATTCAACCTCAAAAATTCGTACATTTGCTGGTTTTATGATTACTGTAGCTGTATATTGATTCCATATCACCTTTATATTGAAAGTATTTTGCAATTCTTTGACGATGAACTTGGGCGAAGATTACAGTTTCATTCTAAACTGTATACATTTGCTGGTCATTTTCTAGAATATAGGAGAAGGATATGGATTCGTCTGCCAAATCAGCAGATGAGGTGGTGGAAGAGATAATGAGAATTCATAGATCTCTTCCTCCAAGACCGGTAATTGATGACGTTGAAGCTGCAGTGATACTGATCCGAAACGCAGACAATGAAGAACAATCCAGGATCGAAAGCATTGCCAGGCAAAAGAAGCGAAAACACATCTCTGAAGAACTTTTTAATGTGTTGGTAGAGATGCAGAAGCATTTAGTTCATTTCCAAAGTAAAGAACAGAAGAGGGAAGCTGTTAAATTGCTAGATCTTGAAAACTACCATCAACTGTTCGACGAAATGATTCAGAGGGCGTCCAAATGTTGTGCTCCATCCAATAATAATAGCACCCAATCAGTTGCATCATCTTCAAGTAGTTCTTCGCCTTTGACAAATCCGCCTTCTAGCAGTGTGAGTGTATCAACGACATCCACTTCTAGCTTGTCCTTTGACAAAGAGCCTGTCAAAAGTCCTCAGTTTTTCACTAGAGATGATAGCTATGTGGAGAAGTCCAAGTCTTCGTTTCATGGCGGGGCAATTGGAGGAGGGCTTCGATCAAGTGAATTTTTCAGACCCCAGATTGTGGATTCCACTCTAAAACCTGCCATTACCTCTGGTGAGTTTAAATATAGTTACTGTTAACATTATCCTTCGGTAATATTATGAATTTTAGTTCTAGATGTCATAATAATCTTGTTGGATATCCTGCATTATTATCAGTTTGATAACAAGTTTCTTTTTTGGAGTGAAATGAGATGATTCCAAACAATGGTTGCATTTTGTAGGCCCAGATGGTGAAAAATTGAGTCTTATAAAGCTTGCTAGTTTGATCGAAGTATCTTCAAAGAAAGGATTGAAAGATCTCAATCTTCATAATAAACTGATGGACCAAATTGAATGGCTTCCTGACTCAATAGGGAAGTTATCCAGTTTGGTCACACTGAATCTGTCAGAAAATCAGCTTCTTGCCTTGCCCTCTTCGATCGGAAGCCTTTTGTCATTGACGAAACTAAATTTATATTCAAACAAAATTGTGGAGCTCCCAGAATCCATAGGGAATCTTGTTAACTTGGTCCATCTTGATCTCCGGGGAAACCTGTTGACATCTCTTCCTGCGACCTTTGGTAGATTAACCCGTCTTCAAGATCTTGATTTGAGTTCAAACAACCTACCAGTTCTTCCTGATTCTCTTGGTTCACTGGTCAGTCTACAGAAACTGAATATTGAGACTAACGGAATCGAAGAAATTCCACATGCCATTGGTCATTGCACATCCCTCACGGTTCTTCTTGCAGACTATAACAAGCTTAAAGCCTTACCAGAAGCTGTAGGCAGAATTGAATCGTTGGAGAAACTATCTGTTCGCTATAATAACATCAGCAGATTACCAACCACCATGTCATCCCTGAAAAACATAAAACAACTCGATCTAAGTTTCAATGAGCTTGATTCAGTGCCTGAGAGCTTATGTTTTGCTACTACCCTCATAAAGATCAACATCAGCAACAACTTTGCTGATCTAAGATCCCTTCCAAGATCCATTGGAAACCTTGAGAATTTGGAAGAGTTGGATATGAGCAATAACCAAATAAGAATCCTTCCAGATTCCTTTAGGATGCTATCAAAGCTACGTGTCTTGAAAGTTGAAGGCAATCCTTTGGAAGTACCAGCACATAACGTTGTCGAGCAAGGTGCCCAGGTGAGTCACCATTTTCGTCTTTCTTTACAATATAATTGCTTCAATTTTCATGCATAATGTGTGTATATATACTTTCTCCTCTACAGGCTGTTGTTAGGTACATAAGTGAAGCCCATGAGAAGAAGGATTTGAAATCACCACTTGTCAAACACAAAAAATCTTGGACTCGCTTCTTCTTCTTTTCAAGGTCTAATAAACGAAAGCGCCGTGGTCTTGATTATGTGGCTGCATAGTTTTGCAGCAGCTCAAGATAGCTCAATCGATACGAACTTGAATTTGCTCCAAAGAGATCGGCACTTCAAATCCCCTCATGGCCACCGCAAGGTTTGGCCATTAACGTGTTGTGGGCCCATGGGATTAGTCAAGGTGCTAGTAAGCTGGCCAGGACACCCATCGTTTTCTAATTTGCAGCAGCTTCAACTAATTTCCTTTCTTAAGGCAAGTTTCACATCATTGATCTTTAGCTCATATGTTTAGTTCTCTTCATATTTACCGCACCTTCCAATTAGGCAGCATTAGCATAGAAAATACTTGTACATGGAAAAAATTCTCTAGTTTGTTACCGTTTTAAGTCTTTTAAGAAAATGAATTTGTAGCTTACCTTGTAATTAAGAATATAGTTTATCGTTGCAAAACTTATAATGTATGTGTCGATTTTGAGTTGGTAAATAGACTTCCTGGAAGTTAACAGGGCTTCTTGCCTTCTTAATTTCACTTAGGCCATTCATAAGCTCGATTTTTGCAAGCACTTCCGCTTACCGGGGCTGCTCCCCCTACCTTATGGCTATCTAAGGTGATAGAGGCAACATTTGTTAGTGTCACATCATTTTTGCCTCATCACCTAGTTGATCTCTTGTAAATTACAACTACACTAAAATCACCAACAATATACGGGGGTCGGTTCAAAGAAAAAAGGCTAAATGTCGTGAGAAGGTAAGAAGTGAAGATTCATATGTGAATCATTAAAAAAATTCATTTGAAGATGTATGTGAACTCGTATGAATGTTAGGAGTGATCAACAAAACATTTCATTGTTGCATCAAAGAGATCCAAATGCCCATCTTAAGGAAATATATATGTATCATTGTAACACGTTCTCCAAGTCTTCAAATATGCCTTGAGGTAATTAATGGGCCGTTTATCAAACACTTACCCAGTAAGTGTTTACCGGTAAAATTTAACACTATTATTTACTTACTGGGTAAGTAAGATTTTAGTCTATTATTCATCAGCTACTAACTGTTGCAGCATTGCATTTGATGTGTATAGAAATCTATAAACTACTGCCTCTTCTGTTATTAGACATTATGAATAAAATTTATGGCATGATCTTGACATTCTCTTATATCCACATTCAACAGATGCATAAACTTTAGGGAAAAATCACCAATTAACCTTTTTTTTATAAATTATCATGAAATAGGGGGTAAATTTGTGAATTGACTTAGCAAATTCGGCGATCTTGACACAAAAATCCATAAAATATTAAAAAAAAAGTCAGAAAAAGTACAATATGCAATTTTGCTAAGCCAATTTACAGATCGTGTGGCTATTCTGTGGTATTATTTTTTAGAAAGTAGTTACCTTGCGAAGCCAAAAGTGACTATTTTGGTGATTTTCTCTATTTCTTTATATTATATCTGTCCTCGTTAGATATCACTAGGATTTGTATGTTATATCTGACAAAAGATGGTATTTGTCGCTCTCTGAGGAAGACTTTTTAGTTAGTTTCTCCATTACGTTTTGTCTTCTACAAACATCTAATTGAGAAAGAGCACGTCTTCAAGAGATCTTTCAACACGTTCAAATTCTCGTGTAAGAGATTGCTTCCAAGGATTCAGAGGTGCAAGTTCTTTCGCTTTCTTACTTGTATGTAGATTTAGGTTACATTATTGAGCTTAGGGACTCTTTACCAAACGTTTAACAAGTGTAACTTATCTTATTGGACGAGTATGACAAGGACCAGAAAATCTTATGCATTAAGAGACTTATCAAAGACTGATGATCTTACCCGGCAAGTGAGGAAAAAAACTCTTATTTGCTAAGTGTTTACCGGGTAAAATACGCTTATCAACAACTCATTTTGGTAGCCAAGAATTTTACCCCTCAAGTTAAGTGTGATTGATGACTCTTACCCACGGAGGAGCTATTAGGAGCTAAGCGGGCTCCTTTGCACCTGCTCACTCGGTTATTACAAGAGAAAATTTTAGGCGTCTAAAAAGGTGCACCTGATTGATTTTGAGCGGTGATTTTAAATACTTTGAAACCAAATTTATAATAGAAATTAAACATGGATGAGATGGTTGGATTACCACTCCACATGCAAGAGATCACGAGTTCAAATAGAAGTTTAATTTTTTTGGCTCCAGGGCTATCTCAGACATTAACTCCGAATGTTATTTCTAAAAATATTAGTAACAAAAATTATAACCAGAAGGATTGAATCACAACTTCAAGTACAATTATGGGCATTACGACCAATGTACCAACACAAACTTTTGTTAATTTTTCTCTTATTTTGATTTTATTATTTTTTTTTCATTTTATTTTCTTTCCCAATGTCTATTCATCTTAAAAGTCGTCGTTTTTATCTAATTTTCAAGACAATATATATTTATTTTAAAAATCAAGGTTGATTCCATTTGTAATTCGACAAAAATGACTTTTCTCTCTGTCAAACCACGTTGACTTTCTCCTCGGGTTAAACGGTGATTTTGCGGACCTTTGATCAACGTTAAAGGTGCACCAATTCAAAGAAATCTCTAAGTCGATCATTGTTCTTGCCATGTTTACCTGGTAAGTATTTCGAGTTTAAACAAATTAGAACTTTTAACAATTTCTGGGAAGATTTTGTACATGTGTGCATGACCAGGTATAAATTAACAAAATCACTATTTATTAACCCAAAGTGTAGTTAAGGATCATATAATTTGATTTAACCTTCAGAATTTGAAAAAGAAACCTTGTTGATTAAATATGGAATGAATCAAGATTAATTTTGAACTAGGGACTTGTTAAAAAAGCCAAATAAAAACCCGAAAGCTAATCATTTGGTTGGCCGAATATCGATTTGGTCAAGATATGTTGCTTTTAACCCAATTGTTTATTATGACCAAAAAAGTTATGAGGTATATTTTTAAAATAAGTGCTCACTTTATTCTTTTATATATATATACTTGTTCAAAAATACAAAATGACTGTTAGGACTACGGTTTAGATTTGGTTCTAAATTTTTAACTAATGACGGGTTAAGATCCGACCCTTCTTCTTCTTTTTTGGGTTAAAAAGGACCGCTCTTTTGTGACCGGTTAAAGTTCAGTCCTTGGGGGTCCTAATACAAAAGAATACTCATATCATCTTTAGGGCTTTTCACTAAAATAAGCAAAACGTACCCAATATATTAACAAAATAACCATTTTTTTTTAACTTTTTTTCAAAATAACCACACGGATCGCCCCCGATGAGCATGTTGACCATAGGGGGGCGATCCATTCTTCTTTGACCAAAAAAAGTACAAAAAAATTATTTTTTAATTGATTAGCCCACATGTATCTGATGTGGGGGACAAAACATCTGGTTTATCTTGAATACGGGGATCGCCTCCACCTACCCTAGGATCTTCCCCCGGGCCGATCCGGCCCTCCAGGTTTGACTACTAATTTGTCTTCTAGTGAGAAAATCGATTTGACAATTACGGGGTATTTTTCAATTAACGGAGGATGATTTTGACTGTTTTAGGACCAAAAATGTTGTGGTTTTACTCTATAAAATCGAACACTTGTATTCACACAACCCGTAACCCTTAAACACAATTTACCATCACAACTCTTAACACAATATGAAATCACGTCAAACTTTATAATTTTTACTACTTTTAAACGCTTAAATGAACCAACGAATGTTTTTATATTTTCTTATAAAAATTATATTTCTTATAACCATTGAATGCTAATATTTTTTAATAATTATTGATACAAAAAAATTTATTTGTATCTGATTTAGAGACAAAAATCATATATTATATTTGAAGAATGCTATATTTTTATAACCACCTACTTTGACCGCTATTTTGTCATTTAGTGGCCTACAATTTAATGGCGATTTGACTATCAATTTTGTCTTATTACGTAACGGTTTATGTAAATAGGCGATCGGAGGAGACCATTATCATCATCCCCACTGACATCCACCACTAGAAACACACCCCCTTCGGGCATTCCGATCCCCCTCGACCATCGACCACCGATCACCGTCCACCGACATCCACCACCATCTGCCACCACCTACTACCGTCCGCCGCCACCTACCACCGTATGCCACCACTACCACCATGGAACAACTAGTAAAAATTCGTAATATTTTTAATTTAAGTTAAAAATCTATTTTTTTGTCTAGTATCTAGCATAACACTATACATTTTAATTTTTCATAGGTTAATTTTGTATAGTATTTAATATTTAGTTTTAAATTAGTTCAAAGACAACCATAGATTCGATATAAAAATTTGTCCACAAAGTTCGAATCATTGGCATTGCCCCATAATTGCATATAACCATGGATGAAGATGTGATTTAGGTTTGAATAGATGAAGGTGAATTGAAAAGGGTAAAGGGGGTATACGAGTATTTAGGAACCGTTGACGAGGTTGGGGCGGGTAACTAGGGTAAAAACGAAGGGGGTGGGGGAGGTCAAAATAATTTAATGACCAGAAAAAACATGTTTACCTCTCACATAAAGGGCAGGTAGGGGGTTTTAACGGTGCTTTAGTGACGATGTCACCCATATGGATGAAAAGCGAAAGAAAAATAGAAATTATGATGACGATACACGTAATTTCCAAACAACATGGACAAAAATACAGACGAAAATCATAGTTTACTCTTTTTTTTAGGAAAACTGCATTAAAATGGAACAACTTTGACTTTTCTGTTTTAGGGAATCAACTTTTAAAACCATATTTTGAGGGTCTAGAAGAAAGTTTGTGTTTATGTAAGTGTCTTGTTTACCGGTTAAGTAGGTAATCGGTTATTATAAGATGATGTGGCATGACTATAAATTAAAAAAAGTATTACGTGGATATTTGGGAGGAAGGCACTTGATTATATCTCATTCATCACGAGAAAAAGAGGATAGAGAGATTCAGTTAGGGTTCAAGTCTGGTCGGTATTTACATACTTCCATGCTTTTCGACATATTGACCTGCAGTTACAACAAAGATTGAAGGTTATCAGATCTTGGTGGTGGACATAACTGTAACTATATTCAAACATAAATAATTGGATGAATGAATATAACAACTATAAAATAATAATAGAAATAATTGTATTACCTTACAAAAATACATATATGAAGATAAGTTTATTTGTTAGTAAGAAAACTAAGAATGAGTTCTTTATATAGTAGAAAATTTGGGTTATTAGTTGTTAAAATTTATTACTTGATTAAGAAATTTAGTTTTTCAAAATTTTATAACCTTTAAATAGAAATAGACCTCATAATAGAAAGAATTTAATTTCTTCAACATTTTATAACCTTT